TTCGAGTTTACTCGGACAGTCACACGCTTGATGATGATGTAGTTAATACTGTGAGAAGTAAAACGGTACTAAAACCTCTGGCTACATTATTTAATATTTTACCTTTTGAGTTTTCACTCTGTGGAACAAAACAAAGCTCCGTGCACACGGACACCCTGCGGCGGAAAAGCTATAGGGTATTGTTGTAGACAGTTCTGGCACCACAAATGAAAGCACCTGCAGTACACAAAGAAAGGTGACGAAGTCAAACCGCGCTAGACAATGGAAAACACGCAAAAAAAAAAAAAAAAACACAAAAAAAAAACATTATTGGCCAAAATTTTATATGGAAATCTGCGGCTCATCTCGTCACCTCGTCTTCCTTCAACAAGATGTGAGGAAGAATTGGAGACAGATTATCCACATCTTGCATCAGATTCGTTAGGCCAACCACGACAATGCTCGGCGCAATCGCAATCAATGTCCATGTGGAGAACAAGAAGCAGGCCCGGAATAGCATAGCGAAGAATGGGAAACACTGCCTCAGGAGAGGAGAACCTCTTTGCCCTTCTTACATGCACGGTACCGTTGAGTCGGCGTTGACCATCTTGAGCACGCTGTCCTGTTTCTTCTTCTTCTTCTTCTTCTTCTTCTTCTTCTTCTTCTTCTTTTTTTGTCGGTCTCGTTCCAATTTTAACAGATGTCCCAAAGGACACACATCCTGTTTCTTTTTGTTTGCTACGAACGCAAATCGCTGCACCTCTGTCTTTGCTAGCACCACAGCAGCAGCCTGTCTTCCGTAGTTCCTACAGCAGGGATTTTGCTGAGCACTGCATTGCCCGCACAACTGCGGTAGTTCTTGGATCTCTCATACGCAAGGTCTGCCACACGATCCACATCAGTCTCGTACATCTCGTACAGTTTTGGCATCGCGAAGGACAGCACCAGGAGAACATAAAGAAGGGTACAGAAGTCAAACCCAAAGCCGATCCTTGCACCAAAATACAGGATACAGCATGGTTTTCAAGACCAGCTTCAAGTAACCGCCCACAGCGAGATGGTGAAGACAAGCAAAAACATCGTTGGCGACCATACCGAAATTCGTGGCTAATCACTTCGCCTCGTCTCTTCCTTCAACAAAAGGTGAGCAAGAAATGAAGGCAGATGGTCCACAACATGTGATGCATTCATTAGGCCAACCATAACAATGCTCATGTTAATTGAGATCGATGTCCATTTAGAGGAGAAGAAGAAGAAGGCCCAGACTAGAGTAGCGAAGAAACAACAGCCCCGTGCAGGCAGAAGGACAGAGCGCCAGAGCAAACGATTGGCAAGGTTTCCGCCGCCAAAAATTTCATGAATGCTGTTTTTTTGCAAAGAATAATCGAGTTTGTTTCATGGCTGTGCCGGCAACCGGCCGGTTGGACCGGCCCGGATCCAACCGGGCCGGTTGGACCCCTGGTGGTCCAACCGGAATTCCGGTTGGGTCCAAAAGTGGGTCAATTTTTTATTTATTTATTTTTTTTTAAACATGGTTGGACTGCCCTCACCGAGATCTCCCCGAATCCGCAAAGAAAACTTTGAACAGAGAAGTTTCGTTTGGGGGGTTGGGGGGTTGGAGGGTTGGGGGGGGGGTATTTCAGGGGTTGAGGGTCGGGCGTTGGGGGGTTTACGGTGAGGGTGTTAGTGGTGGAGTTTCAGCACGGGCTTCAGCAGACATTGACAACAACGTACCTGGCTTTCAGCAGACATTGACAACAACGTACCTGGCTTTCTGCAAACGTTGACGTTCTGCCCAAGAACTTTGAAGAGGGGGGTGGGGGTGTTAGTGGCAGGGTAGGGACGGTACTTCCCACCCAAAAACTTTGAAAAGGGGGGTAGGGGTTGTAGTGTTAGGGGGTGCTTCGTCCAAGTTGCCCTCGATACTGGTAGGGTGATGGTCCTGAGTGCTGGTCACACTGGGGTGT